GCGGCCTGGAGGTCTGGGTTCTTGGGGGGCCGGGGTCTGGGGCCTGGAGGTCTGGGTTCTTGGAGGGCTGGGGTCTGGTGGCCGCGGGCTGGAGGTCTGGGTTCTTGGGGGGCTGGGATCTGGGGCCTGGGGCTGGGGCTGGGTGACTTGGGTCTACAGGGGCCTGGAGTTGTGGGCTTTTGGGGGTACCGGGGTCTGTGGGGGTCTGGGGGCAGGGTAGCGGGGTCAGGCGTTATCAGGGGAATCCTGGAGAGTCCAGGGTACTGGGATCGGGGTTACCAGGAGCCTGGGCGTATTGAGGGCGGGTTGGAGGGGCTGGGGGGTGGTGAGGGGTGGCGAGCACTGTGGGGCTAGTAGAGGTACTGAAGGTGGGAGTCTGCAGGGAGCTGGGGGCCCCAGGTCCTGAGGGGCTGGCAGAGGTGCCAGGGGTGGCTGGAGACACTGATGGTACCAGGGAGGCGGGGGTCTGGGGGTGGTGCCAGAGGGGTCTGGGCAGTAGGGGGTGGAGGTAACAGGGTCTTTAGGGGGTGGGGGTGCCTGGGGGTACTGAGGGTAGAGGGGGTGTACCAGGAGGGTACGGACAGGACAGTGGGGGTGGCTTGGGGAGATGAGGCGGGAGTTGGGGCCCAGAGGCAGCTGGGGGGGGCCACAGGTACTAGAGGGGAAAGGGGGCCTGGGGGGTGGTTCTGGGCTGCTGGGGGTGGCCTGGGGTATCAGGGGCAGGCGAGGTGCTGCCATCGTTACTGGGGAGATGGGGAGCCAGGGAAGCTGGGAATACTGCGGTTCCTGGCCAGAGGGGGTGCTGCCTGGTCTGGCTCCCTGTGTGGCCCTTAGGGTCCTAGGAGATGCCTCTGGTCTCAGCACAGGCCTGAGTCCCTCTCCTGTACCCCAGACCCCGCAAGTGGCTCTTTGGTCCCGATTGGACCCTCCTGCCTTGGAGCCCTGCACTGGGCTGTGCCTCGCGGGCGTGGCAAGAGGCCTCTGACCCGAGCTGGCGGGTGGGCGGGCTTAGGGGCACAGTCACCTGTAGTGTCTGGGTTTCTGTGGGTCAAGCTCAGCTGGAGGCTGGCTTTCTGGAAGCACGGACCAGTCAGACCAGTAGGAAGACCTGCTTTGGAGAAGAGGGGAGGAGGGAGAAGGCGCAGACACCCTCTGAGCCCCAACCTTTGGAGAGGCCCTTGCCCTTTTCCCTTTAAGTTGGGCTAAAAGGATGCGTCTGCCCACAGTGGAGATATTAAAGTGGACGGTTCTCGATTGTTTCTTCCGCCTGAAACTCCCTCCTTGTGTGTTCAGTGGAAACATAGGCCTCCTCCTCCGCAAACCCTCCCAGGTCCTGCAGCTGGGCTCTTTCCATTAGGGCGTCCCTGCCTTAGGGAGGTGTTTGTGCCTTCCGGTGGAACGACATGATTCTAGCTTGGGGCTAGGGGCAGCCGAGCTCAGCCCGGCGCTGGGAGAGCCGCTTCTAGGTATTGGGCTGGGTCAGTGCTGACAGAGGCTGGGGCACTCAACCCTCCTTAAAAGTTTTTGCCAAACCTCCTTAAAGGTGTTTTTCCCCCTTTAGTGTAATCTGATGAATCAGAGCAAAAAGCCCAATCTCAGGTGATCTTTTGATGAGGTGGGGACCAGTCTCCCTGACGTGGCAGAGAAGCAGACTTGTTCCTCCCCTCCGGGCCGGACGTGCCGGCCAGCACGGGGACACTGCCCTCCGGCGCCTGGCCCTTACGGTCTGTGTTTGCGTTTCAGGCCCGACGCCCCGGCTATGGCCGCGGCTACCATAGTCCACGACACGTCTGAGGCGGTGGAGCTCTGCCCTGCGTACGGCCTCTATCTCAAGCCCATCACGAAGATGACCATCAGCGTGGCCCTCCCGCAGCTGAAGCAGCCAGGAAAGTCCATCTCGAACTGGGAGGTGATGGAGAGGCTGAAGGGCATGGTGCACAGCCACCAGTTCTCCACCCTGCGCATCTCCAAGAGCACCATGGACTTCATCCGCTTCGAGGGCGAGGTGGAGAACAAGAGCCTCGTCAAGTCCTTCCTGGCCTGCCTGGACGGCAAGACCATCAAGCTGAGTGGCTTCTCCGACATCCTCAAGGTGCGCGCCGCTGAGTTCAAGATCGACTTCCCCACCCGCCATGACTGGGACTCCTTCTTCCGCGACGCCAAGGACATGAACGAGACGCTGCCCGGGGAGCGGCCGGACACCATCCACCTGGAGGGGCTGCCCTGCAAGTGGTTCGCACTCAAGGAGTCGGGCTCGGAGAAGCCCAGCGAGGAGGTCCTGCTCAAGGTGTTTGAGAAGTTCGGGGAGATCCGCAACGTGGACATCCCCATGTTAGACCCCTACCGGGAGGAGATGACCGGCCGCAACTTCCACACCTTCAGTTTCGGGGGGCACTTGAACTTTGAGGCGTACGTGCAGTACCGCGAGTACGTGGGCTTCATCCAGGCCATGAGCGCCCTGCGCGGCATGAAGCTCATGTACAAGGGCGAGGACGGCAAGGCCGTGGCCTGCAACATCAAGGTGAGCCCCGGCCCCTCCAGGCAGGGCGGCGGCTGTGCCCCGGCCTCTCTTCCAGACGGGGGACGGTCCCCTGTCCATAGAAGGACAGCAGGCCTGCGTTTGGTACGGTTTCAGACACAGAGAGAAAACCAGTGGCGTACACTTCGGCTCTTACAGGATCTGTATTTTAAGGAGCGAAACATTTTAGGGTAGTTGAGTTGGTGACAGACGGGCGCTCTGAAAGGAGTCATAACCGTGCCTGAGGCCAGAGCACTTGGGGCCACGGAAACGTCCCTTTAGACGAGGGCAGAAAGGTCCTTTTCTGGGTGTTGCTAGTGACTCGTGGTGGCTTCGCAGAGACAAGGATACCAGCCTGGCAGAGGGGCTGGGGTTATGGGGCCGTCAGGCTGCACGGGCCCTGTGACAGCTGGCGGGGTGGCATCGTCAGAGGGCGTGGTGGGCCCCGGTAGCAGAAGGGGTGAATGGCCTTGTGGAGGGGTGACGTTCTTATTTTAATAAAGGGCGAAGGCGAGTTACTGGTGCTCCGTGTCAGTTCGTACTCCCCGGTTGAATCGGGGCCTCGGTGCAGGAGCTCGGTCGGGAGCCGCTCACGGACTCTCTTCAGACGCGTCTGCGGGATCCCGGGCCCCGCGTGCCCGAGCGGAGGCGTTCTGGTGGCTCGCCTTCTGCGAGATGACGGGGTTCCGTGCGTCTGCGGGAGCCCGCCCTGCGTAGGTGACGCTTCCTTGTGTCTAAAGAGTGCTTCCGGGTGACTGTGCGCTCTGTTTCTCTTCTAAGGTTTCTTTCGACTCGACCAAGCACCTGAGCGACGCCTCCATCAAGAAACGGCAGCTCGAGAGGCAGAAGCTTCAGGAGCTGGAGCAGCAGAGGGAAGAACAGAAGCGCCGTGAGAAGGAGGCGGAGGAGAGGCAGAGAGCCGAGGAGAGGTATTGTCTGTGAAAGCCGCACCTTCAGAGTTACTCCTGACACCCACGCGTGTGTGTGTGCCTATTCGTGTGTGTGCACGTGTGTGTGTATTCACGCATGTGCAAGCGTGAGGGGCTGCTGGAGACACAGCGGAAAGTGTGCGCGCTCCCACCCGTCTGCCTGACTCACGTCCCGGGTCTGGCCCGGCCTCTGCCGGGCGCCTGCACTGCACCGTCCCTCAGAGCCACCTCCCGCGGGCCCAGTGCATGCTCCTGCCCGCAGAAACAGCGTCTCTCGGCCGTTTTGTGGTTTTGCATTTCTGTTGAAGCTGCCTTAATAGAGTGAGGTAGAGAGCCGATGAAGTTGCCCGGATTCTAGTAAAAACCAATTTCCGTTAAGAGGTCTTCTGAATAATTGCCGTTCAGACGTCGAAGGGCGAACTCAGGTCGCGGTCTTTCCCCCTTTCCTCTTTTGTTCTTGTGTTGTAGGTGATCTAACCAACGATGTTACCTGAATTCTGGGAATAGGAGAAATCCTTCATCTTCCGTCACCTCCGCTGTACTTTTGGCATTTCTTTCCAGCGTTCTCGTGTGCGTGCGTTTTCGAGGCACGTTTCCTACGCGGCTGTGTTTTGCTGACTTGGACGTGATGGACTTGGCTGGGTTCATCCCCGACCAGTCTTCCTGTCTGTCTCCGTGTTGAGTTGACTTCCCCGCCCCGGGGGGTCTTGTTTGGTTTTCTGTTCTTCAGTGGCGTCCGTAACGCAGATGCAGAAATGTTTCTGCGTTTAGCTGTTTCCATCTTTGCAGTAGAGCCCAGGTCCAGGGTAGCTGGTCCAGACCATACATGTCATTTTGGACCTCGCCCCTGTTGCTCCCCGGAGGAGACTGGGCTTGCTGGCCCGCAGAGGACAAGGAGGACAGCGTGTGAGGGTGTGGGTGTGGGTCGGGTAGAGGGCCCTCCGTCAGCCATCAGGAGCCCAGAAGCGAGGCCGCAGCGGTGCACAGAGGAGGATGTGGGGAGCTGGGGAGCATGGACCGTGCTGGCTGCATGGCCGTCCTCAGGAGGCAGCGCTGGGAGGGGGCAGCCTGGATTTTATGCTGGTCAGAAGACCCTGGGTCAGCTCGCTGTCTTTGGCAGAACCAGGAAGGGCAGGGGCAGGGCCCAGTCAGAGACACGGCCTGCAGCGAGCAGACCGGCCCAGCCCTTGTCCAGACGGGCATGGTCCTCGCCCTTCCCTCATCGGCCGTGACCCAGAAGCCCCGAGCTGTCGGTCCTACAGGAGTCTTCCCACAGCACTTCTGAAAGTGGCTCTAGGGGCTCCTTAAAAGGAGTAATTTCCTTGGTCTTTGTCGTAGGAAGAAAGGCCTTTGAGGACAGGTGGCTCTGTCTGTGGGCTGGACGACAGAAGACGCCCGGGGGAGGCGTGGTGAGGACACAGGGTTCCCAGACGGGACCCTCTGCTGTGCTCACTGTCACGGGGTGGCGGGAAGGGTGCCCAGGGCGAGCTCAGGTGGGTGGCCCCGAGGCCGCCTGCTGCCCTTTCTCTGGAGTCTGCAGGCCGGGCCCAGGGGAGCCCAGTGTGTCCTCCGTCACAGGCGAGCCTGTTCGTGGGGGCGGTTCAGGTCTAAGGGGGAACAGGATGTAGTTGGTGGCAGTTCAGGTCTAAGGGGGAACAGGATGTAGCCGGTAGCGGCCTGTTCTCAGAGATAACCAGCCTGGGGCTTCAGTTCCCCTTGTGTGGAGAGCCCGGGCACTCGCAGGGCTCGCCAGGCCGCTGTGACCCGCAGCTCTGGCAGCTGTGGGGCCTGACCCCTGATGTCATGGAACCTTCTGGTGGCGGCCCTCCGTGGAGGCTCTCGAGCTTGTCGGTGCTTTCCACTGTGAGCCCCCGACCTTGACGCTCTGCCCGTCCTCCTGGTGTCCAGGGGTGTCAGATTCTTGTTTCCTTGCCCCGTGCTACCGTCTGTTCACTGCATCTCTGTGCGCCTGGCGTCACTGTGACGGGTTTGGCTCTTTTCCGTAGCTGGTCGACGTCCCACCAGGACGTCAGGGCTCTCCCCTTGCGTGTCTCCTTACGCCCAGAGTGGCTTGGACGTCTTGATTGCGTCCGTCTGTCGGTTATCTGATAGATTGTAAAGCCAGAGGGTGATGTGGAGCGGGTGTGCCGTGTGAACGCACCCGGGGTTCTTCCAGACGCCCTGGCAGGGTCTTCGTGTCTCCGGGTGGCCTCCAGCTCCTCACGTCAGGGACTGCCCACCCCGTCCCCCAAGAAAGGATACTGTCAGTGTCTAAGTTGGGCGTGACGTGGAGTTGATTTAAAGAAAAGTCTCGCTCTCCGGATCGTTTTTATTTAGGAATCTCACAGGATGTCTGTAAGATGGGACGTGCCATCGGGGATCCCTTGATCGGGGGACACACCCAGAGCAAGCCGTCCTCGGTTTTCTGTCCCTGTGGGTTTGCTTTTTCTGGAATTTCACGTGAAAGAGGTTGCATGGGACATAGTCTTCCGTGTGCAGTCTTTGCCTTGACATAATGCTTCTGGAATCTTCTGTGCGGCTGTGCCCCCCATTTGTATCTCATTCCTCTTTATGCCCCGTGGTTCCGCACGGCCTCTTTGTGAAAGCCCCGGGGAAGGGGACGTGTAAGCGTTGCCAGTACATTGTAGAAGGGGTTCCTCTCCGAGCTGAAAGCTGTCTCGGGTGGCCTCTGCTCGCTGCCCGGTCGTGTCTGGGGGCCCGCGGGCCGGCGTTGGTGGAGCGTCTCTTGCTGCTGCTGTCGGCTGTTGGGGGTTCCCTCCTGAGTCGGGCTCGCTTCCCCCCGACTCGTGGGCTCTCTCGTCGGGGGCTGGGAGCGCTGTGGGTCGGGGCGTCCTGTTTGCTGCTGAGCCTGGTGCCCAGCCTGTGGTCGGCCTTTCCACCGTTGGGTGGCGTGTCTCGTTCAGGATTAGACGTTGACGCCGTCCCTTTCTGCATGGCTTCGGGTTTGGGATCATGCCTAGCAGGACTGTCCCTCTAAAGGTCCTGGCAGTCCTCGCCCTCCTGTGGTCTGCTGCTTCTGGGGTTCCTGGGGTTATGCTGGGGTACAGAGTTGAAGTGCTTCCTCGTGTGTGTGCCCGTCACCTGGTGCCTGCTCCCCCCACGTGCTCACACGCCGCCTGTGTCGCGCACGGCGCGTGCCCGCACGCCCCGTCCCTGCTGACGCAGCCCCCGTGTGCTTGGCGCAGGAAGCAGAGGGAGCTGGAGGAGCTGGAGCGGGAGAGGCGGCGGGAGGAGAAGCTGCGCAGGAGGGAGCAGAAGCAGAGGGCCCGCGAGCTGCGCCGCAGCCAGAAGAGGCTGGAGAGGCTGCAGGCCGAGGAGCAGAAGCAGCTGCAGGAGAAGATCCGGCTGGAGGAGCGCAAGCTGCTGCTGGCACAGCGCAACCTGCAGTCCATCCGGCTCGTCGCGGAACTGCTCAGCAGAGCCAAGGTACCCGCCGCTGCGCGGGCGGGCGGGCGGGCTGCCGTCTCCGCCATCCGCCAACACCCGGGGCCAGCGTCCCGGCCCCTCCTCCCTGCCACCGCCACCGAGGGCCATCCGTGCTCACGCCAGGGGTGACGCCCGTGCTCGGGTGGCTCGTAGGATTCCCCTGTCGTTTCAGATTTCACAGCTGCGCTTCCCTCTTTGGAAGCTGCTAGAACTTGGAATTAGCCTAACCTGAGGTCAGGCCTCCCAGGCGCTGGCCTGGCAGCCTTGGGGTGGCTGGGGGCTGGCCACCGTCCCCCAGACTGAGGCACACGCAGAGCTCACCCTGCCCCTGGAGCTCTTTGCCTGCTGGGGACGCAGTGCCCGGCTCTGGTCAGGTCAGCCGTCCTTGCTCTGAGGCCTCTAGGCAGCGGTCTGGGGTGGGAGGACGAGGCCGAACCTGGTTGGTACAGTGGGGACCTGCGGTGGCCCCAGGGCGTCCCCAGAGCCTGGCCAGGCCCGTGTGCCTGCTCTGCAGCTGTGGATCTGACAGGTCTCAGGCGGTGCTGTGCCAACGACCCTCTCGGTGCCGGGAGCCTTCGCGCTCCTCCCGGAGGCCTGACCGGTAACTCCCGCGAGCCGGGGGCCCGCGGATGGACCTCGCGGGGCACTCCTTGTGCTCAGGCGGGCCACGTGCCCCCGTGGAGTCAGGCGTGGGGCGAGCCCGTAACCTGTTGTCTGATTACAGTTGTGATAAGTCCCCGGGAAGGAGCGTGGCAGGCGTGCTGAGACCTGTGGCCACTCAGCTCTTGTCTCATGGTGAATATTGAAGACACTAACCCAGGCCAGGCCCAGCACGTCCCGTGGCGGCGGCCACGGCCGCCTGTCTCTGTCATAATCTCAGCTCCCCATAGCCGGCGACTGCTTGCGACCTAACAGCAGGCCCCGTCTGTGACCTGGAGGGGCCCGGGCCCCGTCCACCGTGCCCGCCCCAGGGCCGGCCACGTAGCTTCGCCACGGGGTTTCCATCTGGCCCGGGCACGCTCGGGATGGGCGGGCCGTGCTCCGGCCAGGCTGTCCATCCGGCGGCCCCTGGCCTCGGGGTGTGGAACCCCAGCGCCTCCTCGGAGCGCCGAGGTAGGTGCAGAGACGCGTCTCAGGCGCTGCGCTCTGTCCCGCAGGCGGTGAAGCTGCAGGAGCGGGAGCAGAAGGAGGAGACGCTGCGGCTGCGGCAGCTGGAGGAGCGGCGGCGGCTGCAGGAGGCGGAGCTGCGGCGGGTGGAGGAGGAGAAGGAGCGGGCGCTGGGGCTGCAGAGGAAGGAGAAGGAGCTGCGCCAGCGGCTGCTCAGCATCCTGCTCAGCAAGAAGGGCGACGACCCCCATGCGCACGAGGAGCTGGGCGTCTCCCACGCCGACCTGCTGCAGCCCGTCCTGGACATCCTGCACACGGTGTCGGCCGGCTGTGTGGGCGCCGCCGCGCTGCCTCCCCTCGCCGGCCCGCCGCCCCCCAGCGCCCCCAAGGAGACCCCACCCCGCCCAGAGACCGACGGCGCGCCCAAAGACGTGAACGGGAGTGTCGCCGAGGAGGCCCAGGCCGGGGAAGGGCAGCCTTCCCGCCTCGCCACCCCCGACGACGGCTCGCCCGGCCAGAGGTGCCCCGGCGTCCTCTCTTGCATCCCCGACAACAACCAGCACCCCAAGGGCGTGCCTGCCGCCTGCGACCAGAGCGCGCCCAGGAAGGACGTGCGTTCCGAGCAGGACAAGTGCAACCGGGAGCCCAGCAAGGGCCGCGGCCGGGCCAGCGGGGAGCGGAGCGGCGACGACAGGCGCAAGAGGGAGAGGAGCCGGCCGCGGCGGGCGGGCAGCCGGGAGGACGGCAGGCAGCCGCGGAAGGAGCGGCGCGCCCACAAGAAGCGCTCGCACCAGGACGACAGCCCCCAGCGGCGCAGCGCCAGTCCCGAGCACGGCCGGTCGCGGAGGTCCCACAGCAGAGACCGGGGCGGCAGGAGGGAGAGGAGCCGGGAACGCGGGGGCGGCTCGGGCAGGAAGCGCAGCCACCACCGCCGCGGCGAGAGGTCGCGGTCGGGGTCCCCCAGCCGGCACCGCAGCGCCTGGAACAGGTAATGCAGGGCGGGCCCCCACGCCGCCCTCCAGGGACGGTCAGGGCCGGGGAGCGGCCTGGCTCCCGTCCTGCTCACCGCGTCCCAGGAGCCGCCCCGCGTGGAGGAGGCAGCGCGTTGGAAGGCTCCTTCCGTGAACGACTGGCGGCCCTCTGGCTGAAACATGTCGCCAGTCGCTAGCTTTAGTTTTCCTTTAAAACTGTTGATCCAGTAGCTTTAATCTCACCAGTCTCCTCTAAATCAGGAAAGAGGCCCAGGACGACCGCTGGGAGGATTGCAGACCCGTGCGTGCCCACGGGCAGAGAATTCCCGTGGGCGCTCAGTGACCCTCCCGTGGCCTGACTTCACGGGTGGCGCGTTCTCCATTGTTGGGGACGAGTCGTGCAGTGTGCACAGCCACGGTCCCGCAGGGAACTGGAAAGAAAAAGCCTCGCCCTGTGGGATTTTTTCCCTTTTTGTTTTCGTCAGTTGAACTGGTTGGGAAGCACGGTGTGGGTGGGATGCCCAGAGAGCAAAGTGGCGGTGGCGCCTCAAGTCGGGTGGGGAAGGTGCAGGTCCTGTAAGATCGGGCCTCGGACGGGCTGTCTGTACCTGGGCGAGAGCCACAGGGCGGTCCCGTGCTCCCGAACTTCACAAACATTCACTTTTTACACGTTCAAGTCAAGAAGCATCAAAAAGATTGGTCAAAAGCTTTGGTTTCTAGTCAGGGTTAGCGTGTGTGGTTTTTTTAAGAAGCCATTTTGCTAAATTATTTTTACTTGGAACGTTTCAAACAGATTTCAGGCTGCAAACTTGTTAAATTTTATATCGTTTGTGTCTCCAAGGGAAGCCCAGAAATACTTAAGAAGAATTGTAATGTTCACGTTAGGAGGGATGGTGTTTATCTCAGTTTGCATTTTTATGGTGAAATAAAATCCTTTTCCAGTGAGCTAACATCTTCCATATTTATGGGGGTTTTTTTGTCTTTTTTACGGTGTTTGGGCGACATCATTGAGCGGAGCTGAGTGTAGCATATTTGAAACTGATAGAAACGATTTGCAGTAATGCGTTTCGTGAGCCGTCCATATTGTACGATAACCCCCTGGAGGAGAATCCTGGGTCTTTTGCTTTTTTTACCGAGAATGTAAAGTTTAACAAATTCACAAAAGCAACCTTTTTAAACCTAAGGAACTATTTTTAAAAACGAATTAAAGAAAAAGTGGTTTTTTTCGCACCTGAAATCGAGGGGCCAGGTAGGCGTGGGTGCCCCTGCCGGGACCGCAGACTCCGATCATCCCTCCACTCGTCTGTTTAATTAAAACGCTGATGTCTCGGCATATGGAGGACCTGGTCACGTGCCTGTTCCCCCCCAGCTCACGTCACTGTCAGACGCTGTGCTGGGTACACCAGACTCGCAGCGTTCTTTCTCTGGGATGGTTTTTGTCCCATCTGTCACCAAGGGAGTTATAGGTGCAGAATGTGCTTAGATGTCCAGTGATGGGAGAAGCCCCTCAGAAACCCTGCGCAGTCACGTTGGGATCCCTGCACCCAGCACTGAGCGTTTGCCTCATCGGCAGCTCTGACAAGGTGCCGGGTCCAGGCGCCGAGCTGGGAACCCAGGATGTGGAGCCAGATAAGACAGGGCTCCCTGAGCCCTGGGGATCTTGAGGGGGGGAAGATACGGGAATGAAGAGAGGGCCAACTGGTACTGATGTTGGGGAGGTCATGGAGTTCTCTGTGAGGTCAGGGGAGGTCTCTGAGGTGAGGGGAGGTGTCTGTGAGGTGAGGGGTGATGTCTGTGAGGTGAGGGGAGGTCCCTGTGAGGTGAGGGGAGGTGTCTGTGAGGTGAGGGGAGGTCCCTGTGAGGTGAGGGGAGGTGTCTGTGAGGTGAGGGGAGGTCTCTGTGAGGTGAGGGGAGGTGTCTGTGAGGTGAGGGGAGGTCCCTGTGAGGGCAGGGGAGGTCCCTGTGAGGGGAGGGGAGGTGTCTGTGAGGTG